TGAATTTGAGCGGCCACTGGGCCCGATCTAGTCGCCGTAAAAGGCCTCCCTCCACGTCCTAGTATGCTTAAGACCCTACTCTTTCATGCCCTGTGTCGGGAAGACGTTGACCACAACGATTTTGGCTTTGACCGCAACGATTTTCCGACCAAGTTGGTCAAAAAGTGGTCGAATTTCGGAAATTTGCTGATTTTGCTGACTTTGGGCGGCCACTGTGTCCAATCTAGTCGCCGTAAAATGCCTCCCTCGACGCCCTAGTATTCTTAAGACCCTACTCTTTCATGCCCTGTATCGGGAAGACGTTGACCACAACGATTTTGGCTTTGACCGCAACGATTTTCCGACCAAGTTGGTCAAAAAGTGGTCGAATTTCGGAAATTTGCTGATTTTGCTGACTTTGGGCGGCCACTGTGTCCAATCTAGTCGCCGTAAAAGGCCTCCCTCGACGCCATAGTATTCTTAAGACCCTACTCTTTCATGCCCTGTATCGGGAAGACGTTGACCACAACGATTTTGGCTTTGACCGCAACGATTTTCCGACCAAGTTGGTCAAAAAGTGGTCGAGTTTCGGAAATTTGCTGATTTTGCTGACTTTGGGCGGCCACTGTGTCCAATCTAGTCGCCGTAAAATGCCTCCCTCGACGCCCTAGTATTCTTAAGACCCTACTCTTTCATGCCCTGTATCGGGAAGACGTTGACCACAACGATTTTGGCTTTGACCGCAACGATTTTCCGACCAAGTTGGTCAAAAAGTGGTCGAATCGAAGGGGCCGCCTGTTTATCGGGCAGCCCAGCAGCCGCGGGAGCGCGTTGGGCTGCCTACCCGCGCGGCGCTCCCCGCCCTGGGACGTGTTGCGGGACGGGTCCACGGGTCAGCGCTCCAAATGCACCACGCCGCAAATCGTAGCGCGACGCGTGGTGATATTGCGTTACCCGGAATAGTATCGGTTACGCGGCGGGAAGCTAATTTGGCCGAGCTCTCGGAGGCGAGGGCGCGCGGCGTGGCGGGGTGGGGCGTGGCGGTGTGGCGGTGGCGGAGAGCAGCGCGGTCGGTCCTCTGCCGAAACTGGCGTCGTCCGCCCCGCGTCCCCGCGACAAGTTTAGTTTGGTCTGAAAACACGACGCCGGGCCTTCTCGCGTTGCGCGCCTCGGCAGGCTGGCGGGCTGGTGTTAGGGTGCACGCCCAGAGAAGCCGCGTCTGCTTCGATTTCAATGGCGTTGCAGTCTCCAGTGGGAACGTACTTCATTTTAGAATCAAGTTTTTCGAAGTGATTGGTGACGGGCACCCCTCTGAACGCACATCGCGCGCTTGATGCGGGATGAGTCGAGGTGTTCTCTGACTATCTCGTCCTTTCGAGAGTGAGCCGAGCATCGAGGCAGTCGCTGGCTGGCGTGCCTCGCGGCTTGCCGTGCGGCTTGCCGTGCGGCTTGCCTCGCTGCCGCGCGGAGAGGCGAGTCCTGCTGCTGCGGCCGAGCGCACTGCGGGCCAGTCCTGCGCTCCTGATACCCGGCGTCGCCCATTGCAGGTGCTGTGCTAGGCTAGAAAGCGTCAGCGTCGCCTAGCGAACCCCACACTTCTGCCTCTCTCGAGGCGACCGTCGAAGGAGACTCTGACATGGTTCAGTCAGCCCCGACAGCGCAGCGCGGTTTGTGTTCCGGTTGGAGACGACTCTGGACGAAGCTCGATTCGTGGTCTGCGTTGAACAGACGCAGCCGTCGGAACGACAATGGCCGTGGCGTGCGCGGCTGGCGCGGCGCACCGCGGAACGCACGGAGCGACAGTGGCGGATGCGCCGCGAGCACCGCAGTGAGCTGTCCCTGCGTGGCGGCCGCACCAGGAGCGCAGCGCGCCGAGAGAGGTGTCCTGGCTCTGGCGCTCCCTCTCTCTCCCTCTCTCTTCCGCCTCCCGGCCGCACCGCCGCCCGCCGCCTTTCGCCGCCAGACCTCTCTCTCTGGCCGTCTCCCCACCCCGGCCCCCGCCTCCCTCCACCTCGCCTCACCTGCCCCTCGTTTGCCGCCCGACATGTGCTCGAGCGAGACGTTCGCAAACGCCTTCGGTAGCGACGCAGCGGCGTAGCAGCGCGGCGGCACCGCCTTTTATCTCGGTCCTCCTCGGCGAAGTCCTCGAGGCCCACGCCCCGTCACCGTGATTAGGATGAGGCCGCCGATCACTGGCCTGGCTCCGCCACTGGCTGCGCCAGGCTGCGCCAGGCTGCGCCGTCACCAGCCGAAAAGCAGGGGGATTTTTCAAACGCGCGCGGGAAATGTCTAGTCATGACGGCGGGGCCCGCTCCCCGACTGGATTCCCTGTCCGACTCCTCAGCCGGGCCTGAGATGAATATTCACATCCATAACGGCCCTGCCAACATGCGCTGCCCGGCGCTGCCATGATGGCCCATGGCCCCCGCTGGCCCGGACTGGCGTGGACTAGCGGCTGAACTAGCGGCCCCCCGTGGCAGGGGACCACCTGTGTCACTGCAGGGATTAGATATTTATCCCCGGCAGATGGCCTCTCGTGACGTAAGTCACCGGGAAATGTATTTTCTCCAGCGGCACCGGGAGGAAAGTCCTGGCAACTCTAGTCACTGTTGACGAGGGTGGCTGTTTTTGAGCATTTTTGGCTTGTCTAAGGTAAGGGCAAGCTCTCAAGAGTGATGTTGAAAGTCCCATGCCAAAAAAGAAACTCTAAGGACTCGAATCAAATTTATTTGATCAGTAGCAATGGCGTCTATCACGTCTTTGATTCGAGTCAGAGACTACAGAGCTCAAAAAGTGCTTAGGCTCGCCTGTACAGGCCTTTTCGACTTTCTGTAGCCGTCTGTTTTCACCAATGCTGAAAAATTAGCTACAGAGTTCTGCCTGCTCCCAGGCCTCATAATGGACACCACTCGAGTCTTAAACCTTATAAATGATAGCGCTTATCTCAACACTGCTGACATCGAGCTGAGACCTGATAAAGTAATTTGTTAACACGAAGCAAACAAGAGTTACTACTAGAGATGGGAAGAGGGCTGTTTCAAGGGTTGAGGTTTGGCTCGGGCGCATCACGGGGTTCGTATCATCCGTTGAAATCATTCGGGGTCTAGCAGGCCCTTAGAAATCAAACCTAGACCACTCTTGTGCTCTCTTAACACTCCCATTAATTTTGGACAGGCCACTTCTTGCCACGAGAACGACCACATTTTAAAAGTGACATGAGACAGCGTGAAAATTGCAAAACCACAGCTGTGCAGACTTGATTGATCGAAGTTGGCTCGGGAGATAGCAGGGTCCTGCTTCTGAAAGCGAGAGTAGTTTATTAGTACCCACAGACATACACCAGAAAAGATCTTGTCGATAAAATATTTTTGTAACGTAATATCTGCGTTTCAAAGAAAATAATCTCAAAAAGACATCGAAGGCCACGGAGGTCCGAAAGGACAAGGTCAAAGTTGTTGATCACGCGAAACCCGCCAGTTTTATTACATTTTTGCTGTCATAATCGGGATTCACGTCACACACTCCTAGTTTGCCGAATGGTATCTCCCGCTCGATCAATATACGAATATCAGTTCGCAGCTCCGTTTGTGGGGATTATTTTTTGCTGTCTTTGCTCTCGCCAAGAGCCATGGCTTCTCTTCGTTAAATTATTCCGAGGTGCATTGGAGCTCACATCAGAAGACACGTTCGACACTACACCGCCAAGAGACAAACAGAACGGTCGACTGGATCCATCTCTTTGAGCGGCCAAACAGTTGCGCTGAAGTGCTCTTTTTGTTACTGTTTTTTCGCTCGTTTTGCGTCGCAGTACCAAAATAATTCCAACAGTGCCCCTTGCTAAACAAGGCCCGAAACAAGAGGAACATATCGCCACCATATGGACACGCCACGCGTCCGCGCCGATCACCCAGACAGGCAGGATAAACAGGTTGTCTGTGTGCTCACGGAGCGTCGCGCGTCGCGCAGCGTAAACACGCAGGTCGTGGACAAGCAGTGCCTGGCCTGCCTGGCCCTGAGGGCGGGCCTGCCCGGGCTCCCAGCCGCCTTCTTTCGGATGCGCATCCATCTGGTCGCCAGGCTCGAGGGCGCGAGACACCCGAAGTGTTATCGCGACACTGACAAAAATAGCCTTGCTGGAAGAAGAAAAGAAATTTACTCGACATTTTGAATAGAGTCCCTTTAAAAAGCCGCTGGAGCAGCAAACCGTCCGTGAGTCGCAGACAAAATCTCTGTTTTTGAACTACTCTAATTTTGTGTGTGAGGCACGGAAGGGAGTTTCCCTCTCTCTCCACGGATTGACGAGGGGTAGACGTGGGCAACCTGCCACATAAACACGGCCAAATTGCGACGAGACGCCGACCCGACGAGGCGGCGGCTTGAACTTGGGCCGCGGCGGGCCGGGCCTCACTAGCGAGTCAGTCACTATCTGCCCACCATATCTCCGCGGCACGGCGGGGCGCTCTCGGGCATCCTAGTTGGTGGGTGGTGATTGCGTTTTGTAATTCACGCGCCAGTCGAAAACCCAGTGTGGCATCGCGCGGCATATAAACCGATTAAATTATAAAGTGTCCGTGTGAGAATGACGGCGAAGGCCGCAAGCCGCGAACGAACGCCGTGAGCGCCAAATCCAAGGCCCGCCTGCTTCCCTAGGTGCTAAGTGGCTGCGTGCGGCTCGGTGCGGGCACACCGCACACCCCGAGCACCCCGTGCACCCTGTACCTGGCAGGGATCCAAGAGCCGAGCGCGGCGCCGACGACGGCGGCCTCTGACGGCGCGCTCCGTGCTCACGGCTGACGTGACGCCCACCGCCACCGCCAGCAGCACGGCGACGACGACAAGGACGCAGAGTGTGTCAGTGTGTTGCCGAGTGAGACAGTCGCCCGGTGTGGCGCTACTCGCTATCAGTTTAGATTTTGCCTATTTGTCTTATCGTGCCGCGCGCGTCGTGTCGCTGTCTGTCTCTCTCTCTCTCTCTCTCTCTCGCTGCCATCGCGCACCTCCTCGACGTCTAGGAAGGGGGGGCAGACCACGGCCCGCCGTCGCCCGGCCCGGCGCAGCCCGTTCACACCGCGGTCGAGACAGAGACAGTCCGGGCACGGCAGCACGGCAGCAAGGCACGCCGGCCAGTGGGCAGCAGCAGTAGCAACGCGGGCAACGCGCCTCCGAGTCGCCAGCCACCGCCGGAGCGCAGCACAACTGGATAACGCATTGGTACGCCTGCCTCCACCCTGCGTCTTTGCCGCGCACACCGTTCGATTTCGCACCGCGGTTGGGCGTTGTCGCGTTCGGCGCCAGTCCCTTCGTCAGGCTCGCTCGGCGGGAGGACTGTGTTCGCCGTGTCAAAAACGCGGCGATAAAATGGACTGGCACCCCTGCAGATCATTATGCTGCTGACATTCGGGTAGCAATGAAAGCGGGAAAGCCCGGCGGGGCGTCGGAGCGAGCCGCGTTGGCTCGGACGGCGACGCGGCGCTGCCGGGCGCCGCAGCACTGTGACAGCGACAAGGTTACACTAGCGGTACGAGAGAGACAAGGGCGATTCTAATGCGCATGGAAAGTTTTATCCGGAGCCGACTTTGAGGAACGCGCGGTAAATTCAAACTGGCTATGTGCGGCGGGCGCGGCGGGCAAGAGGGTGCCCCCCGCACACATGCCGTGCCGTGCCGGTGGCTGCTCAGAACGCCTCCGGCACTTCTCGGCGCCCGCCGCCCTCCACGTGGTCGCCGTGGCAACGGGTCGCGTGCTTGGCGCGCTTGGGGGAGGGGAGGGGGTTATAGTTTTAGTGGTCGGTGAGGGGGATGACGGCGCTTATAGGTGTGGTCGGCTAAACACCGCCCCGGGCCTGCCCAGGCCGGCACGCAAATTGCCGAAGCTCGCCGGGGGCAGCCCGGCCTGCGTCGCTCTGTCTCTCTCGCACCTGTACGGAGAGCCCCATGTGAGCGAGAGAGACAGAGCGACGAAACGCTTGGCGGAGGCTGCAGGTGCGAGCGGTGCGAGCTGAGCCGTCCGCCCCTGGGCCCTGCCCTGTCTGTCTCGCTCAAAGATGTCTCTCTGGCGGTATTCGAACCCGCAGCCTCTCGGTGTGGACGCTTTTCTTTCTCTCATGCAATTTAGACAATCCGAGTCGGGCGATACTCTGCGTACGCCCAGCCCCTCACCCCGCCTCCCCGTAATCCAATTCACGAAGTTGTTCCCGCCAAGTCGACGCGTGAAGGTCAGTGTTTCGACCGCTCGGTGAAGCGCCATCCGGGAGTCCCCTCGAAGTTGGCGCTTCCTAGGAGTCTTCACCATTTGTCCCAGCCTGAGCCGCCGCTATACTTGTCATACCTGTTTGATTGAGCGTCGCGCTGCAGTGTGAATCTTGTGCAATTAAAGCGATTGGCGGCGTGGGCCGCCCAGTCGCTCTGTCTCTCTCGCACCGCTACGGCGCGCCCCGCGAGTGGGACGGAGAGAGAGGCGCCCGGCGCGGCGGGGGGGCGTGGCCTCTCAGTGAGTACAGGTGCAAGGCTTGCAGTGGAGTGGAGGCGCGGCCACAGCCGAAGTGCACCGCGTGGAAACTCCGCGACACGCCTCGACGAGGCGATGCACTCCGTGATGAAGGAGGCCGGCGGCGATAGGTGCACCGCGACGCGCCGCCACCGCCACACCCGAAAAAAAATACAATTTTTTAAAAATTTCCTCGTTTTTAATCCGCCTCCAACGCACGGAGGGACATTATCTGGACTTGGAGAAAGGCGAAGAGCAACGCGGAAGTCACGGCGAGCGCGTCGATCACCGACTCTAGTGTGTTTGTTTGGCAAACAAGAAGGACGCAGTGGCTGCGGGTGGGAACGCCGTATTGGCCGCATGAATGTGATCACGCTGGGAAGGATTGTGTGTCAGTGGGAGCGCCGGTCTGTCTGTCTGTCTGTCTGTCTGTCTGTATGTCTGTCTGTCTGTCCGTCCGTCTGTGCGGCGTTAATCTGCCCCTGCCCACATGCCAACACGCTGGCTGTTGTCTGAGGACCGTACGCGTCGCTATCCTCGCCGGTGCACCGCCGCACAGTCCTCCGCGCCGATCGAGGACGAAAGACAGAAAGAGGGGGAAAAGAAAGGATAAGAAACTTGGAGACCTGAGCCGCGGCGGCCGATCAGAAATTTAAAGCGTGCCGGCTCAGAGGTGTCTCATTATCAACGTCCCCAAAGGACTGGGACTGAATCAACCGTGGCAAAGAGCTCCGGTACAGTGTGAGTGTGTGTGCGTGCGCTGTGTGTAAGAGAGATAGCACATTGTCTGATTGCGTGCCTGTGTGTGAGTGTGTGTGCACAGCGCACACCCTTTACCGTTGCGACACCGCCCGGCTCTCACTTATCGAATTGAACGGTTTGCTGCCTATCGACACAACACGCACACAGAGGAGCGTCACGTCTATTTTCGGTGCGGAATTAGCAGTGTGTTTGTGTCGGGAGCCTCATTGGCTCGCGTCGCGACCCGCGACCGGTTGCAGCGTTTTCTGCACCGCTCTGCACGGTCGCACACATCAAGGCACCGCCGCCTCGTTCAAGGCTGTGCTGACGTCCGCCCGTCGCACAGTGGGCCAGAAGACCGAGACCGGTGGAGGCGGTCAAAGGCCCGGACGCGTCTTGAGCTCCAGAGTCGCTGAATGGGACTCGAACCGAACGTGTGACCCCATCAACGGATTGCTCTCCGAACGAGGAATCCATTGGTGGGGTCACACGTTGAATCGTCCATCATCCCCTGCGGCCTGCAGCTTACCGCCGCCGGCTGGAAACTGCACTGCAAAGGCAGTACCTGGAATTCACAGGCGGCCACGTTGAAATTGCCATTTTTTTCAGGGCGAGTCTGGGCATTCCAGGTACTGCCTTTGCCGCGTGAAAGCGGTCAGTTGGACGCGCCCGGGCAGCAGGCACGCCGCCAGCACCTGTGCTTGACGGGTCTGCCTACCTGCAGGGGGCCCTCAGGCTGGAGCAGTGGGGCAGCGCGTTCTGCGTCACGGGTTGACGCGCTGCGTGCGTCCCACACTGTAAAACGCGACCGGTACTCAGCTGGCTCGGACACACGCCCCCCCCCCCCCCCCTGCCCCGCCGGCTCGGGCTTTGCATTTAAAGAAAGCCGCGAGGAAGGCGGCGGGCTGATTGCCACTGTCTCTCTCGCACTCGCGGGGTGAGGGGCGCCAGACAGAGAGAGACGAGGCGCTTCGCCGACTTGGCGGTGCCGGACGGACAGCCGGGCCCGGCTGACTTTGATTATAACTTTGCGGCCCTCGGCCTCATAAAGGCGAAGAGCCTAAACGCTAATGGAATCAGGCAAAAGTTGCTCGCGGCTCGTCATCACCACCTCGGCGCTCGCGGAGTCCTCTCCTCCTCGCGGCGTCCGAATAAATAAATATAAGCCCCGAATTACCGGCCAGGTAGTGGCACCACTGCGATTCGGCCGCTCGGCCGCTCGGCCCTCGAGGACGATTACCGGCAAAGCATGCGCCCGCTCTGCGCTGTCTCTCTCGCGCCGCCCCGGGGCGCGCCGTGAGTGCGAGAGAGACAGCGCGACGGCTGAATGGACGTGCGTTATCGGACGCGGACCTCTCGTCCGCCCGGCCGGCCGGTGCGTCCGGACGAGCCAATCACACCGCTCCAATTGGAGGCGCCGGCGGCAGGGCGGACACACTCGCACACTGCTCTAGTTGTTGCGCGCGCCTTTTTTAAATGTATAATCTCATTCTTGAAAAGTTGACTCCTAATTCACGGCGGACAACGCGGCAGACGGGCACAACGACTCCGGCGGTGCCGTCCCCTGACGTCCCGGCGTGCCGGCCTGGCGTCCCCCCGGACTCGACCTGACGGCTCGCGCTGTGCGACGCTGTGCTGTGTGTCAACAGAATTAACTGAAATTCTCGCGCCGGGCCGCCGTCACCGGCGAGGACCCGGTCTGGCGGCCCGGGAGAGGCGAGCCGGCCGAGCAAAGTTTTCTGTTTTCCCCGCGGACCGGCCGGCCAGCCAGCGAGCCAGCCTGCAGACTGATTCCGAGCGTCTTTCGTCGCTCTGTCTCACTCGCGCTGATAGCTCGTCCCCTGCAGGTGCGAGAGAGACAGAGCGACGAAAGCGACTCGAACAGTGGCGCCCCGCACGCTGCCATTACCTTGCTGCATGTACTAACGGACCTACCCGGTGGCGGCGACAAATAGTATGGTAATGGCGGTCGCGTGCACGCGCTTTTTCTAGTGTGCGTCCCCGGTGCCCCCGACGGCGGCGTGGAAGAAAACCCGTGGAAAAGACGAAGACGCGTGGGCGGCGTGGGCCGAGGACCGGAGGGACGTGTTCACGACGGACGATAAGGTCGCTATCGGGTGAAAGGGGGAGGGGGGGGGCACGCACGCGAGCGGCAGCGCCATGGCGGTCCGAATTGAATGCGGCACACGCGACGCGAGTCTATCGCGGCGACGATGTGTTGCGTTTTAATAACTTTATCCATGAGGCCGAGAGGCCGAGAGAGCCGCACCAATCATCGGGGCCGTGGGCCGTGGCGGCGGCAGGCAGCCGATACCCACACCTGTTGTGAGCCAGCCTAATTAACCTGCTGATAATCGGATATCTTCCGCCGTGCCTGCACTGGTGGCCACCGATGCGGTAAATATTTGCGTCCCCGGCAACGGCGTTGCGCTCGGCGGGAAGAAAACACGGCGTGTACAGCTCCCTGTGCTATCGCGTCGTCAAACTTCCAAAAAGTTTTCATTTTTTATTTTTCGATTCCCCGGTCGGGGTGTCGACATTTTGGCAGCGGTCACGCCCCGTATCAGGCCCGGCCAGTCCCCCCGACCCGCGCGGCGACGCGGCCACACCGATAAATAGGAAAGAAGACCATCCCCGCGATGAGAAATAAACAAGTCGAAGGTGGAGGCTGCGACATCAAAGCGGGGCGGCAGGGCGGCGCGCCGGCGGCCCGCGCCCTCAAAGCAGTGCCCCGCGATGGAGTCCAGCCGACAGCCGCGCGCCGCGTCCCCCGAACAGGGCTCCGGCAGGCCGCCGTCGCCGACCCTCGCCGCCGTCCTGGGCGAGCTCGTGGAGGCCGCCGCCGTGGGGATGGCCACGGCCTCGGCCACGGCCGCTGCCTCGTCCACCGCACCGGCCACCGCCGAAGGTGTCGAAGTGCACGACGAGGCCCCGAAGGCGACGAGTGAGTAGTCTCGTGAAGCCGAGTTTTCGGCCCCTGCGTCGCTCCACTGTGCAAGGCTGGTTTCCCTCCACCGGCAGCCCGTCGCGAGGTCAGAGGGTCGCCTGCTTGGCGGGCTGCAGCAGGTGCAGTCGGTTGTGCGTCATCCCTCCGCGCTGGCTGGGGCTGGGATAGGCCGTCCTACGCCGGCCCTCCGCTTAAACCGCCTTTAGAGCCGGGTTGGCAGGGCACAGGGCACGCAATCTACAGGAGCCAGTTCCAGGACTCCAGCTGGAACGGACAGGCCAGAGCGTCTGGAGTCCGGAGTCTGGAGCCAGCGGCCGAGGCCGTCCGTACCGTGCCGTGGGCAGGGCAGGCGGGGCTGGCGGGGCTGGCGGGGCTGGCGGGGCTGGCGGGGCTGGCGGGGCTGGCGGGGCTGGCGGGGGCCGGCCCCGTCGGCGCGGCGTCACCTCACGAAATGCAGTTACTTGGAACCCATCTAACTTGGCGGCCGTCCTTTGACCCTAATAAGGACGCGGCCCGCTTCGGGTGCTCCGGGTGCTTCCCACCCCCTCCCCCACCCCCACCCCACTCATGCACTCGCCCGTCTCACCCTCCCGTCGGCCCGTCGGGATGTTGCGCTTGCGGTCGCCTTGCCTTGAAGGTGCGTCGGCCGCGGATCCAGTTTTGAGCCCCTGGCTGAGAGCGCGCGCAGGGTGCTCAGGGTGAGGGTGGCCGCCCTCCGGCCTTCTGGCCCAGTGCGCGGCGGGCGTCACGTTTCGGCCGCGGCCAGGTCGGCCAGGTCGGCCAGGTCGGCGAGCGGGGGCGCGGCGAACAAGACCGGCCGCAAATCCAGGGCCGCTCAAATCCGGCTCAAAGTTGCTGAACGCCACCTGCCTGACGACGCTGACGACCTCGCCGCCCGGTTGAGTATTCCGGACGCGCGGCGCTGCGGCGCTGCGGGGGCGGCCGTGCCACTTTTATATTTCGCGAGGAACAACACGAGACTGCGGAAGGCCCGGGAGGACCGGAAGGGGCGTCCAGGATCTAGTTTGGCGACGCCATCTCCCCGAACATCCGCACACTCGGTACTTCGGCGTGCCGACGGCGTGCCGACGGCCAGGCCGCCCCCAGCCTCCAGCCTCACTGCAGCACGGCGGCACAGGCAGCACGCCCTGCACCCAACGTACAGGCAAGCGTGTTGGACCAATATCCGGCGCACTATTGGGCAATTTCCGTAGCCAGAGAATCGCGTGGGTGTAGGCGCGGCGTGGCGTGGCAGGGCAGGGCGTCTGCGAGAAGCGCATCCCCGACAGCACTCTCGCTCACACTCACACTCACTCACTCACACAGACGTGCTGCTCCTGGTAGGGCGGCGTCAAACACGGCCCCAAAGGCGAGGGCGTTTAGAAACGCTCCAGCAGCGCTGCAACGCCACAGCGCTACCGACGGGCCTGCCGTACCGTACCGCCAGCCCCGCAGGCCCCGCATCCGCATCGAGCTACCGACCCAAGGGCGGCCGGTCCGTGTCGGGTACCAATAAAGGGCGCGACAAAGGGCAGCGGGAATCCTCCGCCTCTGCAGACTGATTCCGAGAGTCGTTTTCGTCGCTCTTTCTCTCTCGCATTCGTGGAGCGTTCCATGTGGGTGCGAGAGAGACAGAGCGACGAAAACGACTCTCCGAATCCAGTTTGCTTTTGTCACAGCACTGCTGACCTGCTGCAGACTGATTCCTCGTTTTCGTCGCTCTGTCTCTCTCGCACCTGTACGAGACACCCCCACGAGTGCGGCAGAGACAGTGCGACGAAAACGACTCTCGGAATCAGACCGACGACGTGATTTCTGGCCGCCACCCGGGATGAGGGCGCAGCTCCACTGCTGTTTACTTTCGCTTGACTGGGACGTGCTTCTGGTGTTGCAGGGAAGGACAGCCTGCTGGCCGGGATGGACCCCTCCGTCAAGAAGCTGGTGGCGTCCGCCGTGGCCGAGGCCGCGGGGCTGGGCATGATCTGCCTGTTCGGCTGCATGGGCACGCTGAGCGGGCCGCTGGGCGGCGGGCTCCCCCACATCCAGGTCGCCTTCACCTTCGGCCTGGTCGTCATGGTGGCCATCGCGGTGAGTACAACCGTCGCGACGAACGACACTTTTTGCGCTCCGTCAACAATGTCAGCACGGTGCAAGCACTCGCCAAGGCGCGACGTATACAGTGTGTCACTGCACCCGCAGTACTGCACACTGCCAAAATAAATAAATAAAAAATTGGCCAAAGAAAAAATTACGCGATCGGTTGTAGCTGAGTAAACTGTGGGGTACAACTGACGTACCTAAATTTAGGTGCACTTTTTGACAGTGCAGTGCCCAGACAGCCAGCTGGTTTCTGTAGAAGCAGAAAGCCCTGATTCCGCAGAGTGTTGTTTCACTTGGGATGGTTATCACCGCGTCGCCGTCGCGTCGTTGTGGTTCCTTTTCTTCCGCGGAATGGAACTGCCGATCGGCCGCGCCGCTGGGCTGCTGGCGTCAAAAGAAAGTCGCGCCGCCCACAGTGTGCCGCCATGGCACCGCCAGGCACCGCCTGCTCGTTGTTTTGCGAGGCACCAGGGTCGCGGCGCCGCATCAGTGTTTCCATTACTCGACGCAAATATTGAATTGTGCCGCGCGGCGCCTCGCCGGGGCCGTCCTGGGGGAGAGAGTGAGTGAGAGGGCGAAAGAGGAAGAGGAGAGAGAGAGAGAGAGAGAGAGAGAGAGACAGAGAGACAGAGAGAGACAGAGAGAGAGAGGAATACGCCTCCGAGAGGCTCCAGCCGTTAGGGGCGTATGAATTATTACTTACATGTGTCGATCGTGAACATGGCTGCTTTGTAGAGGAGTAAAGACCCCGTCTTGTAGACGTTTCATAACTTTGAAATATATTTGATTCCATGCTCTATGTGCCAACGTGTAGAAGGGTCTGAGTACCTTTTCTTTGTTTCTCATAAACTTCCTAATTTCTTTTAACTTTGAAAATCGTTTTCGGGGCGGTGTATCCGAGGACTTCAGCCAGTCCCCGATCTGCGGATTAGCGTGATAAAGCCATCTCTATGCGCGTGGCTTGGCGTGGCTCGGCGTGGCGGGCCGGCCGGTCCGCCACTTCACCAAGAGCGGGGCCTTGGAGCACGGCGAGCACGGCGAGCAAAGGGCCTTGATCAGCGCGCTATTCGCAGATGTACTTTTTAAAGGAACGGTGCGTATTTTTATGAGTTTTTCTCCCTCTCTTTTTCAGTGTTTCGCACACATCAGTGGCGCCCACTTCAACCCCGCCGTCACCCTCATGGCCCTCATCATGAAGCTGATCGACGTCAAGACCGCCATCGTGTACTTCATCTCGCAGTGCATCGGCGGCGCGCTCGGCTTCGGACTGCTCAAGGTGCGAACGCGAAACGAACAAGGGGAATTCTTGAGGCAAAGATGAACTCTGTTTTTCTTTTGTAAGCATCCAAGATTTTGCTTTGGCATCCCAGCCTGACACCAGTGGCTCCACGAATGATCAACCTGTCGTCGTTGGGGCACTGTAGTCATTAGCTCTGCGTGCGCGTAGGAAGCTAGCCGACAGCGCGCCGCGCGGGTAGGCAAGCCACCGGGCACCGCGCCGCCGCGCCGCCCCGCCGCCGTCGAGTCGGGTACTGATTGGAAATTCAGACGAGCAGGAAGCTGTGGCGGCGTGGCGCGGCGCGGCGGCGCGGAGGCGGAGGTGAAGGCGGGGCGCAAAGTGGAATCCAAGATGCCGGGAGAAAGGGACGCGGCCGACGGGAAGGCCCCGCGCGATATCCGCAAAGGGTTCCGAGAGGAGGGGAAGGGGCGGGAGGTCAAGAATGCCGTGAATTTGATTAAATTGTCATAGGATCTACGGGTGGAGCGGGCGAGGTGTGCGATTGGGGGCGGCCGTCACCAGGCGGCGCCCCGCCTCGCCTCACCCCGCCGCGCCCCGCCCTGCCACGCCCCGTCCATGTAGGCAAACGGTTGGTCGATCACTAGTTCGTCAGCGGGACGCCACGGCCGCCCACTGCCGCGCCGCCACTCTGGCCGTCCCCAACGGAATCGCTAATTCCACGCGACAGGTGTTCCCTGCACAAACCGCGTTCCCAGCATCCCCGTGGCGGGGCGGCGGCGCCGGGGAGCGACAGAGAGAAAGAGATAGAGCGAGGCGGGGTAAGCGTATGTTGATAAAGGTCGATGGATCGGTGAAAATGGCTGTGTCAACTGTGGGCTCGTGTTTGGCGTAGGGCCTGCGTGCCCGGCCCGGCCCGGGCGCCGCGCTGGGCGTAGCGGCGTAGCGCACTACGGCGAGGTACTGGCGCTGTGTGGCCGTGAGGCTGTGTCCACCCCGCCGTTAGCCGCCGCTCGGTCCTCGGCACACACCGCGCACCGCCGGACTCGAGGGTCGTTTTCGTCGCTCTGTCTCTGTCGCGCTCACGGGGCGTCCCGTATATAGGTGCGTGAGAAACAGAGCGACCAAAGTGACTCTCGGAATCAGTCTGCCGGACCGCGCGGACCTCCTTAGCCGCGTCGTCTTATTTTCTCAAGCGAGCCGGCCGTGGCGCCCGGTGCGTAGGCAGCCCAACCGACACGTGGACGCCAGAGCCCTCGCCAGGGACAGCGGAGCGCCTGCAGCGCGCCGGGTAGGCAGTCCCGTCGAGCAGGCGTGTGTGGCGGTCCAGCATGGTGCTATTCGCAGGCGCTAGGTGAGCGGGGCGGGGTTGGGGAAGACTACTCTCTGCACGACGCTCGAAGGGTAGCTCGGACCAGCACCTAGATGCTTTTCTTCGGAACTTCCTCTTTTATTTTGGACAGCTTTCGGGGAGCATTGTCATTTTTTAACCACCGCTGCTTGCTGCTTGCCACTGACACATGTGACCCTGTTGCAGGCGCTGACCCCGACGCCGCTCATGTACTGGGGCCGTGAGCTGGCCGCCAACGCCACCGCGGCCGCCGCGCCCGGGCCGTGCTGCACCGTGCCGCACGCCGAGCTGCACGCGTCGCAGGCCGTGCTGGGCGAGTTCGTGGGCACCGCCGCGCTGCTCATCCTGTGCTGCTCTGTCTGGGACCCCCGCAACGCCGCCAACACGGACGGCATCCCCATCAAGTTCGGCCTCCTCATCGCCGCCGTCGCCATGTGCATGGTGAGTCGCCGCCGTCGCCGTCACGGGTTCGAGTCCCGCCGCGCCTCGGTAACTTTTCCCCCCTCAGCCCTTTCCCGTCCTTCTTTGACACACACGTCGATGTAAGAGGCTTAGGTCCTGCGGGGAAGGTAGCGATGTCACCGCCTCCCCCCGTCCCCCAACCCCATGTCCCCCTTGTCGCTTTTGTTGGCGCTTTGAACCCGGCCGGAATCCCCTCTGGTGTCGGATGCGCCACCACCGCGGTGATATCGGGGACGTGTGGCCCTCGCCGTGGAGGTCGTGGAGGCCGTGGAGGCCATCGTCTGGCCGCCGTGTTTGGCGTCCCCTCCACGCCGTGGTAACCACACAGCGCCACACTGTCGCGTTCAAACACGTGGCGGGCGCGGTTTTTTTCGAGCACCGCCCAACCGCGTTCGGCGGGGCCTCAGTGCGAGAGAGGCAGCGCGGCGCAAACGCCTCTCGGAAGCAGTCTGCTGCAAGGATGCAAGGCTGCAAGGAGGTGGCGGACGCGGACAAAGGCGGTGGCGGTGCGGGGGTAATGGGCCGACGTGGCGCCCTCCCCCCCCTCCCCGTCCCCTCCACTTGCATCCTCATTTGCACGCCTCACAGAGCGGTCAATTGCATCCCATCCACTAACGGGGAAAAATTAAGGGTCCGGACGGCAATCCGTCCACAGCAGCAGGCTTTGAGAATGGCACCCCGCGCTCGCCCCGCGCTCGCCCCACTCGGGATGGGGTGGGGTGGAATATATTACGTGCATGCTGGCTGGCTGGCTGGCTGGCTGGCTGGGTCCCCGAGATTCTTTTGGTCGTTTTCTAAAAGCCCGGGAGTCCCCCCTCCCCCTCCCTTCCCCGCTCGCGGCCCAGCGCGGCGATAATATCGTCCTTGGGGCAGCGCGGCGGGCGCGGCGGGCGCGGCGGGCGGCGCGCTTAATGAAATATCTGTTTTAATGGAGGACTTGAGACTAGCTTACGGCTAATCGCAAAGTGGGCCGAAGACCGGAGGGGCGGGCCGGCGGGCCGGACAGAGGGTCGCTGGGTCAGTCGGCCGTTGGAGACAAAGACAGAGGCAGAGACAGGCCCGCCCACCACCGCGCGCCAGCCCGCGGGGCAGATCCGCGCCCGACTACAGCATGAGCCGTTTTCATCGCTCTGCCTCCCTCGCACTCACGGGGCGTTGTTGTGGGTGCGAGAGAGGCAGAGCGACGAAAACGACTCTCGGAATCAGTGTGCTGGTTCAATCTCGGCGGCGCGTCAATGCCGATTGGCGTGTTTGTCTTCCGAAAGCAGAACCAGGCAGTGTCTCCCTCCGCGTGCCCCGCGTGTGTGCACTGTGCAGTGTAGTGTTCCAGCACCGACTCCGTGTTTGAGTTATTTATTGTCGGGAACACATCGCGGTGGCGCGGTGGCGCGGGGTCGCGCGGTTCGGCCAGGCACCGACAGAGGGCGCCTGCGACCAGACCGGGCGCCGCGGGGTATACGCAGGGTGTACGCCCCAGCGCGAGGGGTATCGCCGAACCGTCCCGGCCCCGCCTCGACAATGTAGTTCGACCCACTGACCTTGCGCAGACGTACTCACACTGTTTATTTGTGCTGCAGGGTCCCTACACCGGAGCCAGCCTCAACCCTGCGCGCACGCTCGCCCCCGCACTGTGGGAGGGCACCTGGACACTCCACTGGGTAAGTCTTGGACGGGCCCGCATGAGCGCGCAGAACGGGTCCATCTATTTCCTTCTAGCCGCGCAAGCCGCGCAAGCCGGGGGCGCTTCAGTCTGTTATTGATGACATGTGCACCATTGCCAGTCATCGTGTGCCGACTGCCTCCGCAGGGCGCCGTCTCTCTCGCACTCGAGGGGCGGCCCGCGGGGGTGCGAGAGAGACAGCGCGGGTAAACGCTCAATCACTGCCGAGACGTACTACGTGCGCGTCGCCGGCCGGCCCCAGAAGGCTGCTTCCGAACAAGTGGTCTGTCTCTCTCAAGGGGAAATAACTCTGAATTTCGGTGTACAAATGAATGAATTTCGTGAATTTCATTGAATTTCTTGAAATTCAGTGAATTTTTTGAATTTTATTGAATTTCTATGAATTACTTTGAATTTTTTGAATGAATTTTTGCGAATTTTGCTGAATTTAAATGAATTTCTAAGAAAAACTTTGAATTTTTTAAATTTCAAAGAATTTTCGAATTTTGGTGAATTTTAAGAATTTTCGTGAATTTCAATGAATTTTTGTGAACTTTAATTAATTTTGGTGAATTTTAAAGAAATTTGGTGAAGTTTTTGCAATATTTCAGTGAAATTTTAATGAATTTTTTTGAATTTTAATGAATTTTTTTGAATTTTTTTGAATTTTAATTCAAGTGTACATTTTTTTCTGAAGTTATTTCCCCTTGGTCTCTCTCGCACCCTCGAGTGCGAGAGAGACGGAGCGACGAAAGCACGGTTCGGAGTCGGGATTCGCCGTAGTGACCTGTTTGTTTTGGCCGCGGTGCTCCCTGCCTCCCTGCCTCGCTGCCTCACTGCCTCGCGGAACGCCAATGGGTCCAATTGAGCCAATACGACAGGACTGGACAACCTTGTTGACACGCCGCGTCGCCCCGACGCCACGGCCCGGCAGGGCTTTGTTCTGCCACCGGCCCCGCCGATCGAACGGCACACGAAACCCTTGCTCGCAATGTCGGTTGGCACCCCTAGGATGGCACTTCCCTGCCTGGCGTAGCAGTGCTGCCACCTGCAAGGGAAGTGCCATCCTAGGGGTGCCAACTGCGCCGCGCTCATCCCGGCCCGCATTAACCTCTCTCCCCGCTGCCCACAGGTGTACTGGGTGGGCCCGCTGAGCGCGGCCGTGGTGCTGGGCTACGGCTGGCCGCTGCTGTTCTCCCCCGAGCCCGAGCCGATCGTCAAGGACCACGCCGACGTGCCCCTGACGGTGGTGTCCAGCGACGGCAAGAAGAGGCACTCCCGGCTGGCCGACGAGGACGACGAGAAGTCCGGCTACTAGTTGGCCAGGCCGGGGCCGCCGGGCCGCCGGGTCGGGCCGCAGGGTCGCCGTCAAAGTCGCCGCTTGGCTCCTCCCTGCGGACTCACTCACCGGGGCGACGGGGGCGACGGCCTCCACGTTTAAGACCCGACGGCGGCGGCTCGATGGCCAGACCCGCTCGGCGGGGCTGCGCGGGCTGCGCCAGCAGGCTGACTCCGAACGGTGCTGACTCGCCCTGTCTCTCTCGCACTCCCACGCGACGCGCCGCGAGTGCGAGAGAGACGCAGCGACAAAGGCACTGTCCGCAGCCAGCCCGCTGGCTGCGCCGCACGCCCTGATCTGGAGAGGGCGTCTACCTCAAATATTTGTGCGCGGCGCGGCTGAGTCGGTCCGGACCAGACCATTCCATTCCATTCCCTCCCCGAGGACGGGGAGTCAAGCAGCAGTCGTTACTGCTCGGATGCAAACCTAGTACAAACAACTGCGCGTTACTCAGTACCCGGCTCGCTGGCCGAACTGAGGTTCTGCGTCAAAACAACGTAAATTCTAATGATGCGTGAAATTTTAAAAGATGCCTTTATTTTTCGGTGGGATTCTTGCCGGTGGTCCTTCGGGACCCGCATTTTATTTAAGTGGCTGTCGATCGATCGATTGTAGAGGACTGATGAATTTTAATTGGTGCGATGCGATTTCGTTGGGATGTTTCGAGTAGCGTCTACCTATTCTGGAGAATGCATTTCCTGTTCATTTGTCTGTGTGTATATACTCTTGCAATAATTAATTTAAAAGTATTAGTAGTAATGAACTGTATAATTAAGTTTTGTAAAATATTATTTTCCTTCCCATTATTATTGATGTCTTGTCAGCCTTTACAGGCACTCTAACTTAACTGAATCTGTGGAATAGTCCTACGCACTGATAAGAGACCATTCGTTTTTAGAATATGTCGATATTTTTTGCCTGGAGAGAGACTCAATGATACCATTTTACTGTCAAGTTGCTCTCTGTGAGAGAAGCAAGTGACCAATAAATGCCTTTCAATTTGTTGGAGAAGTGCTTCTTTCAGAAGGGGCCTGCTTCTAGCAAACGTGTTCAACTCAAGAGACCAAATATGTACATAAAATTGTCATTGTTGATGTGATTGTAAATAGAGAGCACTATGTGTAAATGCACTTGTATTTTTTTTTAAATGGCCACTTTGCCAAAAGAGTGGCACGAATAAAAAGTTATGTTGGTGCTTGAGTATAAATTTGATTTTCGTCTCGTTCCCCGCTTTTTCCTCATCATCTACTTCATTGACAGCATGTCCAAAATGAAACAGTTTCCCACAACCACTGCCCTCTACACTGACACAGAAAATGTCCAAAATGAAAGCGTTTTCCGCGACCACTGCTCTCTCTACACTGCGAGAAAAGAAAATGCCAAAACGAAACTGTTTTCCGCGACCACTGCCCCCATCGACTCTGCCTGGACAACTCGGCCTATTCGTGGCGAGCGCTCTGCTCCGCTCCGCTTCCCTCCAATTGCCTGCATCCTCTTGGAGGCTTGACCGCGACGCCGCGCCGCCGCGACCCGTCGACGCGCGGCCCGCTGAGGTGACGTCTGGCGACGCTTCGCTGTCTTAACCAAATTGTTTTTGACACTTTCCCACTCGCGTCGTAAGGCCAGCACGTCCGATTGAGAAGAGACGGTTTTTCCGAGCGCAGAAACACCGACAAACCCAGCGCGTGCGTGTCATTCGACTGGACAGATGACCAAAATAAAGAAGAAAATGTAGCTAACTTGAAGTGGATTTTCCGACTCGGAAGCGTGTCCCTTGACTTCCGCGTGGCCTTTGCAAGAAAGCGTAGCGTGCTCCACACCCACAACTTGGGCGAGGAGCGTCGTGCCTGCACATAAGCAGCCAGGCCAAACTAATAACCACACTGCACGAAATTTTTGTTTTAAATCAAATTTCTCTTTGAGTTGACGCCAAGGTCGCGGAAGATCGATGGGTTAGGGCACGCCCTTCATCAGGGAGGCACCCCGTCAGGCCGGCCCTAAGGGCGGGCGGGCAGGGCGGCGGCAGGGTCACGGGGGAAGGGAGGGCGGGGGGAGGGCGCGGTCGTGGGCGTGTTCCAATGAGGGAACGGCTCCGTCGGGAGGAGGCCGGCCGGCCCGGTCGCCCTGGTCATTGGTCAATGGGGTCATGTGCATGGCCAGGCCGAGCCGGCGCTGCTGTGCGAACGGGAGACGTATTGCTGTCGGGGAGGAAGCCGCCGGCAGACGGATCGGACCGGGCATCGGGCATCGGGGCCCGGCTGGGCTGGGCCGCCCTGCTGGTTTGACCCACGACACTTCATTAGTAGCCAGATTGAACATCGAGTGCAGCATGACGAGCCCTGGGCACCCAGTGTAGACGAATGAAGGCCCCGCCAGTGGCAGCAAGCCCCCATTTTCAGGAGCGAGCCTAGTACGGAAAAAGAAATATCGAAAAAATGGGGAAAGTTGGTGTCTGGTACGCATTTTCAACGGACTTACATGGGGTTCAAGACAGTCCAAATGGTCGGGTCGGGTTGGCTGGTTTGGCTTTCCCGGGTCTCAACTTTCTTCCTTCCCGATTGATTTTTTTTTTAAATTTATTTCACGAGGATTATCTCACGTTGATGGTGGCGCGACGACCACGGGCACGGCCACGCCGGCGGCATGCACACATGGAGCCAGGCAATCACTCGCGGATTACCGTGACCCGTGTTACTGGCCGAGTACGGCCACCGCCCGCCCCTCCCTCTCGCCCCCGCGGGCCGCCCCGAGTGGGTGCGAGGGAGACGGGCCGACGGGGCCCCCGCTGCCCCTGCCGGCGGGGCGAGGGAGGCGGGCGTGGCCGTCGGTGGCGATGGCCGGCGACATGGGGAGCCCTCGCGGGACGCGGCGACGGCGACGCGCTCAGTCGCCTTGCAGCGAGTCTTGAGTGTGCCAAGCCGCCAGGCCCACTGTTGGCTGACCCGCGCGCCGCCGTCGTAGCGCCGTCGCAGTTCCGCGAGAGCAAGGACCAGAGGGGAACCGAACCACCGCCATGGAGAAGTCCGAGTCCGGGATGGAGAGTGAGTTTCAGAACGCCTGCCTCAGGTTTTCGGGGGGGAAAGAAAGAAGAAAATTTTCAAAATAGCGGCCTTTTTGCGCTCTTCGAGCTTGTATTGTTGGGGAAGGCATTGTTGTTGGGCCGACCTCCAGTACTGCCACACAGTCACTGTCGACGTGCTGAAGATGAGCGCCGGGCTTTTCAATTTTTTTGGCAGTACAAAAATCGTCAAAAACACAGGGCGGCCTAGGTGTGCCAACCCCACCCTCTCCCAATTTTCAAAACTCTGCGCGTTTTGTTCATTTTTTTGTGTGCCATTTTTATTTAAATTTAAAAACTGGCAACGGTGCAAATAAAGACAAGCGGTCGTCCGCATCAGTCCATTGATCTGTGACGATGCCAACGACAGTAACTTGGCGGGTACAGTGGCAGCCAGTGGCCCCCACCACCTACCCAGTCAACAAAACATAGTCCCGTGGACGTCCGAGGGACGTCCGGCCGGGACTACCCGGACCTCCCGGTCGGACGTCCGAGGGGACCTCCGGATGGCAAAGAAAACGCGTCCCCTGGAGGTCCGAGGGACGTCCGAACCGGACGTCCCGGGTGGACGTTCCGCGGACGTCCGCCGCAGACGTCCGTAGGGACTATCCCGGCGGACGTCCCTCGGACCACCGAGGGACGTCCCATGTTCAGCGTTAAAAATTTTGGTTAAAAATTTGAACGCAAGTGTGTTAGCTTGACCTCAATTTGCCACTCCCGACCGTCCTTACCCTTCACCTTTCCCTTCGGACGATGAAAACTCGTTGCACTTGGGGAGAGTCGAACCTCCGACCTTCAGGTTGTGAAGCAGCGCACTTATCCACTGTGCCATGCCGCTCCCATGCGTCATGGTGTGCAGTGTCTCGACTACATGATACGTCGCGTCCACCGTAGCGATGTCCCCGGCGGACGTCCTGGGGAGGTCCCAGGGAGGTCCCGCGCGGACCATGCCCGGGACCATATGCACGTCTCGTTTCACCCAGTGAGACATGACTTTGGACTTTTCCTTCAAAGTGTTGTCATCTCATCGAAGGGCCATGTCCGAACAGTATGTACCTGGGACGTCCTCAAGGAACATCCTCCGGGACTAGCCCGCTAGGACCAGCTTGGGACCACTGGCAGTCGGGCGTGTTGCCTATGCGCCAGGGGCCATGTCCCAATAGGACGTCCCTGGGACGTCCGCAAAGGATATCCGCCGGGATTAGCCCGGCGGGACAGGCCTCGGACCACTGGTACATCGGCGTTTTGCCCAAGCAACGCGGGGCCATGTCCCAAAAGGACGTCCTTGGGACGACCCAGGGACGTCGGCCGGATCTAGCCCTTCGCAACCTTTCACGGGTCCCGATGGGACGTCCGCCGGACCTATGGAGGACGTCTGCTGTCGGCTGGACCCGTCGGTTGCACCGGCCGGGTGGTCCGAGCGGACGTCCCTGGGAGGTACATGAGGGACATCCCCAGGGGACCATGCAGGGACCACTACAGGGATAGTCCGAACATGGTCCGTCCCGGACCGGGACTATGTTTTGTTGACTGGGTACCACACTGTACTACTCTTATTTTGACCCTGCAACTTGGTTGGCGGCCGCGCGCCTCACTTAACGTGTTGCACCTGGGAAGCTAAGCGTTTCGCTGTCTCCCCCGAGACCAGAACTCTCTGTGATGCAAACAGCAGCATCAGTTCGATTCAGCAGCCCATCGATGTATCGTTGTTTAGACGGGCGGCGACGGGAAAATTAGCTGGCTGGCCCGAGTTCAACATTCGACACGTCGCAAGGGGTGGTCCAGCTAGCAGGCCGCCCCCGCACAGTGGGGAGGCGGTCAAAGTTCCGGGCGGGTTTTGAGCTCCAGAGTCGCTAAATCGGACTCAAACCGGACGTGTGACCCCACCAATGGATTGCTCTCCGAACGAGAAATCCATTGGTGGGGTCACACGTTCTATTCGAGTCCTGTTTAGCGACTCTGGAGCTGGAAACGCGTCTTGGCCGCCTGCGCCGGTCCACCGGTCCACTGCGCCCCATGTCGTTGGCGAGATCCGCCGTGCAATCGTGCAGTCCGCAATCTCGGCGGAAGTGATTCCGATTTGTCCTCTTTGAGTGGCGCGCAAGACCGGCAGCTTATCGCCGTCTCCGTGTTTGCTGCTCCGCTGCTGTTTGCCCGGTTTTATCGAAAATGGAATGGGCGAAGCGAGAGCGGACGCCTTGCCTCATCTGGCCGGCCTAGGCCAATCGGCGCGTCTTCGCCGCACAGGAAGTGGCCGTCGTTAGAACGTCCGGGGAAATGGCAAGCCGGCGAGCCGCTCGACAGGCTGACGGCGTGTCGCCGAATGGACTTGACCTGACCCCGCCGGGCCGGCGGCAGACTCATTCCGAGAGTCGTCTTCGTCGCTCTGCCTCTCTCTTTCGAGTGTGAGAGAGAAGGTCTGCAGGCCGTCATCTCCGCCTCGTGGTGGACACACCGGGCTATCTCTTCGTCGCGGCCCTTCGCCCCGCCTCGCCCTTCGGCGCCGTCACGGCCTCGGCGGCGTCCGCGTGGTCCGAACTCTGACCCGGCCGAGAAGGCCAAGGTTTAGGCCAACCGGCCCCGGCCGGCCCGGCGACGCGAGGGACACGGCGAATTTGCGGCTCTTCGACGCGACACTGAAAGGGGGAAACAATATCCACTGCACCAGTGCGCGACTTGATCGGTGCGGATTTGGCTCGACGTTGCCGCCATCGCAGCAACCGTCTTTTCCCCGCCGGGAAGACGTCGCAACGTGCGTTCCTAGTGCACCCTGCCTGTTCGACTCGCGTTGTCGTTGAATTATTCGAGTGGTCGCCTCCACTGCCGCGTGCCGCGTTCCCACATACATTACCCCGGCCGCACCGACACGGCCACACAGACTGACTCCGAGAGGCGTTTTCGTCGCTCTGTCTCTCTCGCTCCTACACTGGACGCCCCATGAGTGCGAGAGAGACAGAGTGACGCAGACGACTCCCGGAATCAGTCTGCTGGTATGGCAGCGACTCCTAGCGAACGAACAATGAACGAAACCACACCACTTTGCCGTCGCGGCGCCCGCTAAATGGAAAATGGAAAATGCACTTTTCCGCGAGCTGGTTTTTCGCAGCGTTTTGTGCCCTCGAAATGGTAGATCGTCGCCATGGCGGGGGTCAGCCTGAGGAACACGAAGCACCAGAAGACGGCGCTACAAAAGTGTCTCGCAGTGTGGTGTCGACTTGATGGGTGTCTACAGTGTCGCGTACGGTCACCCTCCCCCACCGCCAAGTCCACGCACCGGACTTCGTCCTAGTCTGTCTCTGTCACCCAGTGCGGTCTTCCCTGTGAGTGCGAGAGGGCCGGTGGCGGCCGGTGGCCAGCCATACCGACGCCTCGCCTTCCTGCCCACATTCCTGCCTACTGATTGGACACCATGCTTGCGAACACGAGTACGCTAATTCAGCAACGGGGTGACGGTGAACGCCGATCAAGCTGTCCGCGATTTTCTCAACCTCTCATACAGTTTTTCCCGTCTCAAAACGGCGATAACGTAGATAATATTGACCTTGCGACGTTTTCCTTCACTCTCGTTTTCTTCTCCCGAAAATTATCCTAAGCATATGGTAATGCGCCCTCATTTAGGCCGTCCGCTGCTTGAACTCGCTTTGCGAACGTCCTCCCTCGGAAGATCTCGGAAGATCTAGGTTCCCCAAAGCAAGCCGCGAGGGTCGAGGTGGGGGCGGCGCGCGCCGGCGTGTCGTGCTCGCCCGCTCCAAGAAGAAGTAAGTCAGCAAGTTGTATCGGGCAGGTCGGCGCGCTCGGCTCGGACCGCACGGGTGGAACAGGGTAACTCCCTGGCGTTCGCTTTCGAGTTAGGGCGAGCCCTCGCGCCCCGCCCCAGAGTCGCCGGGCCGATCCTTGCCAAGCCGGCAAGCCGCAGCCAGCGTCCCGCCCCGTCCCGCCCCCTCTACATCCTGCGGACTGCGACTGTAGGGTGTAGGGCACGGCGCCGCTCTGGCCGCTCTATATTTGCGGCGGGCACGGCACGGCGCGCCCCGGCAGTCCTTCTCCCTCCGAGGCGGGCCCGCCGCGTGGGTGCGAAGGAGACGGAGAGAGAGCGTCTCGCAAACGCCTCGCAGGATGAGTCCGCCGTTTGTTTACTTCGCCCATTAATAAAGCCGTTTCTAAATGAATTGGCGCGCGGCCGGGTGGATGGAGCCGGTCGGTAATTGAACTCTGGGACGGTCCACTCTAGAAATTAGCATCCCCCACTTTATTTTATCATTTTCATTTTTCGACCCAAAGAAGCGGCCAAGAGGTCGCGACTTCCTCGGTCCGACCTCGGGTCCCCCCGCCTGCCCGAGCCGTCAACCCTGCCTACACTTTCTCAGAATACACACCGCCAGTGGGGCGGGTACTCGTCCGCCCAGCTGCGGACTGCCCCTTAAAATAATAATAAAAATAAATAAATACGCGAGGGAAGTACCACAATAAACCACGCTCCGCAGAGCAAAAATATGCGGCAGGCGACTTTTTTCAGGGGCGTCGACACTGGGAGACGCGGTCTATTCATAGGCGCGATTGTACGCGGGACCACGCTGCCGGTGTTCCCAGGACAAGCAGACAAGCGGACAGACAGGCAGACAGACAGACAGACAGACAGACAGACAGACAGACAAGCGGACAGACAGGCAGACAGACAGACAGATGGCGACGTTGACGTGCGGCGTCGCGATGGTCGTGTAGTGCGGTGCCGCGAACAGCCGGGGCGCAGGGCGTGGTCGCAAAAGTTCGCGTGCCACCACCAAACTACCTCCAAACTACCACACTACCAAACGAGGGGTTGACCAAGGCTGCTCTTGGTGCTGACGGTCTAATGGGGGCGGCAGCGTTTTGGCCCTCATCATGACCGCAAAACACCTGCTGAATAGGCACTGCTCACGTTGGCGAATGAATTGAAGCACTTTAAGTTAAAACAGTGTTACTGCAGGCTGATTCGTCGCCCTGTCTCTCTCGCACTCCTGAGACATTCCGCAGGGGTGCGAGAGAGACAGAGCGCCGCCCCCGGCGCAGGCCGCGCGGACCGACTCCCACTCCCCGCCGACGCGCCGACGCGTCACTACAAGCATGCCGCGACACTGTATCGCGAGGAGGCGTGTCGCGGCGCGTAAGCAGGACAGATGATTGCGATTGTAACTTGTTTTAAAGGCTGTTACTGGAATAGGTCCTCGGCGAGGCGTCCGCCCCTCGGCCCCGCGGCCCGCATCGTGGCGCGCTACTTGGAGTGCAAGTGGAGCAATGGAGGCGGGGCCCTTGGCGGGGCCCGGCGGGGTTCAAATTGAATAGCAGCAGCCTCTGGATTGGCCGCAATGTCCACGCTAACGTTTTCGACTCCTCTGCGACTTGTCCCCAGGATTCAAGCGGGAGCTGATCGGCACGGAGTTCAAGGACATGAACGCCGAGAAGTGGAGGGCCATCGTGCGCCGCGCCCTGGGCGAGCTCTTCGCCACCGCCACGCTCGTCTTCATCGGCTGCATGGGGCTGGTCGGCGGGCTGTCCAAGACTCCGGACCACTTCGCCGTCGCCTTCAACTTCGGCATCGCCGTCATGGCGGGACTCATTGTAAGTTGGCTCGGCAGTGTCGGCCGACCTGACGACGAGATCACGAAGACGCACTTGACTACCACGGGCTCGCTTGTTTCCGCAGACCTTCAGCCACGTCTCCGGCGCCCACATGAACCCCGGGCTTTCCCTCACGGCCATGATCCTGGGCAAGCTGTCGCTGCCCATGTGGTTCATCTACTCCGTGTTCCAGTGCCTCGGCGCCGTCCTGGGCTACGTCATCCTCATGGTGAGCGCGGTGGTCCTCGCGTTGCCCCCGCCTGCTTATCGGCTGCGGCGACCATGATGGACTCATTATCAGTTCATCGTCCTGTTGGCATCACTCTGGAGCAACTTGTTCTTGCAGGGCATCACGCCGTCCAAGCACTTCGTGACCAACCCCGACAAGCCGATGCCCAACCTGTGCTGCAACGTGCCCAACCCCCTGCTGCCCATGAGCCAGGCGTTCTGGTCCGAGTTCGTCTTCTCGGGTGAGCGCACTTTTCGGCGAGCCTGTTGCGTGCTGAGATCGACTGTCGAAATAACGCTCTCGTTGCCTTTGCCCAGCTCTGCTCAGCCTGCTGGCCTGCGCCGTGTGGGACAGGAGGAACCTGGACAAGCACGACTCCGTCTCCCTCCGCTTCGGCCTCGGCGTCTTCGCCATCGCCTATGGCGGAGTAAGTGTCATGGAACCAGGGAAGTCCAATCGCCGCCCTGCAGTGTATCCATATCTAAACGTCAAAATTTCTTATCGCCCAGGTCCAGTACTCCGGCTGCAGTATGAACCCTGCCCGTACCTTCGGCCCTGCCCTGGTCTGGAACTACTGGGACAACCACTGGGTACGTACGACTTCACTGCGCTGCCATTGGCACTGACTCTACCATGCGCAGTTCCCCGCAGTCAAAATGATGCCATCCGTCTTTGTTACAGCTTTACTGGGTGGCTCCCCTCCTCGCCAACATCGTGGTCGCCACGTTCTACAGACTGGTGTTCCCGGAGCCCAAGCCCGCGCCCGTGGAGTAACCGACTTTCCTCAAGACAAATAGAGTTCTTCGTGATTCATCATACAGATGCACTATACTGTGATAAGAGTACAACGCAGCCGCGCTGCCCTATCAAATTTCGAATATCGTGAAAAAAAAAAGTTTTCCCAGTACATCCCTAATTGAAAAAATGTTTTACTTTGCGTGATTGTGTTTTTCGAAAAACATTTACAAGCTTTGAAATACTTCTATTTTCTTAATGTGAACTTTATAATCAAGCGCTCTCTGATGGAGTCACCCTATACCTGCCACCATTGCGGTATAATTTTAATTGTTGTAATTTTTAATTAGCTGTCACCAAAGCCTTAATGTGGAGCATGGACGTACATTTACTGTTCAGTGGGCTGGATCCTCTCTGATGGAGTGGCCATGTTGTCGGGAGCGGTTTCTTAGGTTTCTGTTCACAAACGGCTGCCTCGAGCCGCCAGCGCGACGCAGCGTAGAATGTTAAGTCATACGTGCAACTCTGAAAAAAAAAAGAGTTTTGTGTCTGTAAAGCGTGAAGTCGGCATCGGCATGGTGGTAGCCGTGTTTGTGTGGTTTCTCCTGATAGCTTTTCTGCTTATTTTTTTTAGCACTGCTTCAAGAGAAAAGCTCTCCTTACATAAAATACGGACAATTTAAAATACAAGACTGAACTGTGTTGTGCATCAAGGCGATCAATTACATTTTATTGTGTACCTTGTAGAAGCAAATTATGTATATCAAATAACTCGTGAAATAAACTATTGCACAACCAAACCGCGTATCCTTTGCCTTTGGGACTCGGCTACATATGAGAGTATTACGCGTGGAACAGTGGCAGAAAGACATCAGTATAAATACACTTGTTGTTTCTCTCTAAACAAAGCCGAAAAGCGCGGAAGCGCCTACACCACGTAGGCAACCCAACCGGCAGCGTGGAGGGCAGGCCGACGACACCTTGGGGGTTACGCGCGCCCAAACCTACCCAAACCCAAACCCAAACCCAAACAAAACCAAAACAAACACCACCACAGCCACAGTTGGCGCCTTCGCGCCCGACCCGCGCGCTAGAGAGCCTCGAGTCGAGACCCGCTGCCGCACAAATCGAGGAGGTCCGCGCGCGCGCGCGTCGCCTCCGGTGTCGAGCAGAGAAGTCGAAGCCGATGACGCGGTCGTGGAGAACTCTGCGGCTGCTGCGCTGAAAGAATGCCTTGCACGCCAGAGAATTTCAAAAGATCACTCTAACCCTAAATACTTAAGTAATTTTCGAACGAAGCGCATCGCGGCACTTGCGTTGGCTCTAGCGTTTCATAATCTCCCTTGGGTTCTCTGCCTGACGTCGATGACGCTGTTCGACGTTCGATGCGTTCGGTTCCGAGTCCGAGCTTTACGCGACTTAATCGATATCGACACAATTTCTTAGCAGCGCCTGATTCGTAAGTTGTTTTGATTTGTTTCAAGATGATAGTTTGATGATTGATAATTTTAGACTTGAAGTGTCATGCCGGTGAGTCTAGTTGAGATTGGTTATGGTTGTTAAACGATTATGCTCCGCTACTCGTTGTAGGTTATGCAGAATTTGTACTTTCGCAGCACTTATTAGAATTATGCAGGGGTTTCCTTGTCGCACTGAGACCAAAATTCAGCCTTTATTTTTACAACCCCCCAAATATAATTTGTACTTTATTGGGTTTGGCCTCTCGTTCTGGTGTAGCTCTCGTTTTTGTTGCTATTCAGTTCGCTACGGTACAGGAAGCTTGTTTAACTAATGTTTCATTTGCAGATGAAACCTAGAGTTAGAGTTCAACGTGGAGCCACACTTGAAACACCCGTGAAAAAAAAAGTAAGTCAGCGAGGGACCATGGCTGATTCATCCGTTCAAAATATACTGAGCCGCTTGATGGAAGAAAAACATACCTTCACTTACAAGAAGTTGGTGGTACCTATGTCAATGCGAAGTCCATACTGGAAATATTATGGATTTCCAGCCACTGAGGATGGAGATATTCTGACAAAGGTTTGTTTTAATTAAATAGTTGCCAATGTTTGTAAACGGTATGGCCAATTAATGGTTGAATTTTTCATTTTAGGTAAAGATTGTGTGTGTTTTATGTAAAGCCCAACTGGCTTATAATAAAAACACAAGCAATTTACGAATGCACCTCCAAAATAGGCATGCCAAAGAGCTTATGGAATTAGTTGCTGAACATCCTCCAGAGATCCGTCCAAGTCATAAGGTACCCCTTCATTTTAATTCTGTTAGGTTTATTTAACCTCTGTTCATGAGTGAAAAAATTCATGTGATGTCTCTCTTACCTTAAGCAGCAGCAAGCTCAAGTTCAAGAGGAGCAGGAAATTTCACCTATCAGGCATACAAGTAATAATTCTAAGCAACAGAAACGTACAAAGTGCCACAGATCTCTTGAAAACACTGATAGTGGCTTCACAAAACAAGGAAATGTTTATTTCACTCAAGCTGATGGCAGCATTGAAATTGATGGAGACTTGCAGTTTATGTCGGATCCTAATATTTCAATAAGCAATTTTACACAAGATGAGGAAACCAGCAGCACCATTCAAATTTTCAGTCCTCCAACTGCTGCCAATCCAAATGTGGTTCTCCAACAGGTAAGTCTGTTTTCCTGGGCCCTGTGTATACTTATGTTTTTTAACTGGCTTTTGATGTGGCTAGGTTCTAATATGATAAAATTTAACAGGGCTCTGAAAATAATAAAAATATATCTGATGCCATAGCAGAGTTTTTGATCTTAGATCTGCAAAGAGCAGATGTAGTTGAAGGTAGAGGATTTCAAAGGTTAATCGCCACACTGCGTTCCCCTTGTGAAATACCCAGCAAGGGAAGATTGGTTGATGAAATTCTTCCGTCAATGCAGTGCCATCTGAAAGAATCAGAACAAGAATTTTTGCAGCTCTTCACTGGTGACTATGGAATCACAATTGAAGAGTGGGTCTCTAACAATGGTAAGTTTCCTTTAAATGAAATTTTAAGATCTGAAGTATTTTATCATCACTCATCTTACTTATCTAATTCCAGATGAAAGTTTTTTGACATTCAGTGTCCATTACCAACACAAGACTGAACCCTCACTAGAGACTCGTGTAATGTCGACAGTTCATTGCCCAAACTCCAATGGAGTTGATTTACATGAGTACTGGACTGTATTTATTGATGCATTATTTTCAGAGTGGCATATAAATGCCAACAAAGTAACTGCTATTGTAATTGCAACTAGTTGCACTGAACTCATTCAAGTGCTGGCTAGCAAGAACTTCATTTTAGTTCCATGCTTAATGTATTCTCTCCAGGTGAATGCAAATACACTGTGCATACATTTTTAATTTACTTCTTAACCATAGGCTGCATTAACACAATTTTTATTTTATCAGGAATGTGCCTCATTTTTGCTGTCTCTCTCTGATGTTCATCCAGTGCTTCAGAAATGTAGGGCCCTACTTGGACTTATACATAGACATCCTACAGCATTGGCATCATTGCGCATGCAAGAACCAGAGCTTCAGGTAGATAAAACATAAGTTTCCTTTGCCCTCTCCTTTTGCTTAGTTAAAAGTGATAAAGTCCCCTCTCTTCAACTGCCTTTCTTTGATTCAGGTTGATGAGCCTGTTGTTACTGATTGTCCTGCTATCTGGATGACCACTTACCAAATGCTGGAACAGCTATCTTTAAGGCGTGCTCTTTTTCCTAGTGTTTTGGAAAATGTGACGGAGCTGTCAGCTGACCAGCGTTTACAATTATTGCTCTCTGAAGAGGAGTGGACTGTTGTTGATGATATTGTTGCAGCTCTGGGGCCTTTTAAGGTATTCGTTTGTTTCATGAATTTAGACAATTTTGCTTCTCTTTCCATAAAGAGGGTGTTTTTTGATATTTTTTTCCTTTTCTTTAAGTATTTATCTTAAAAACCTAAATGTTTCAGGTTGCTGTTCTTACTTTAAGTGAGGAGCGATTTCCACTTCTCTCTCTTCTTGAACCTTTGCTGTGGCAGCTTTGCAGCTCTCATCTTCAGGATAAGGATGGAGATTCTCTTCTAGTTATGAAATTGAAACAGATTCTTCGTGACAACCTGGCAGCAAAGTATGTAAATAACAATCTGTCTCATTTTATTCAAACTACTGTTGTAAATTTTAGAGACTTGACTTATTTCTCTTTCCTGTCTTAGGTATGTTAATGAAGATGTGAGGACTCTGCTGAGAACGTCTACCATGTTAGACCCAAGGTTTAAAACTCTTGGTTATGCTGATGAAGATGTAAAGGAAGATGTGTACGAAAGAATACAAAAGTCATTGGAGGAGTTGTATGAACAAAATCCAACCAGTATCGAGTTTTCTCCTACTCCCAATAAAAAGCCTCGCCTATCAGGTATCTCTAATTGCGTTTTTTTTTTGTCTTTATCTGTCCCTATACCCAATGCAAGCTTGATTCCATCTTATTATTTTTGTTTGCAGGAATGGCGTTGTTGCTGGGCGGTGTGTGTGAAACAAAGGGTAGTGTTGGTTTAAATGATAAAGCAAAGCTTGAACTTGATCAGTTCAAATCAGAGACAAGTGCACCACTAGATGCATGTCCTTTACAGTGGTGGTCACATGGTTCTGTCAAGTGCCCAAATCTTGTTCATTTGGCACGTCGTTACTTAACATTGCCTGCAGCGGTAATGCCTGCTCACCGCATACCTCTCCCACAGGCATTAATTTTCCACGAAAGGAGAAAAATTCTGGCACCTGATGAAGCTGACACATTACTTTTCCTTAATACAAATTATCATGGCTAGAGTTTGTCAATATGTTTAGGCTTGTACTAGTCATTGGTCAATGAATTTTCTGTCCATGTTTTTACCTTTTATACCTTTTTGTGGCTCCTATGTACAATAATTCTGAAATTGTATTTGTTTATTTATTGACTCTATTATTGTGCTGAAAGTGTTTTTATGCATATTAAGTTGAATCTATTGAAGCAAATTCAGTATCTTATTATTAAGATAATCTCAGTATTCTTGTTGAGGTTTTTTTTAACCTCTGATGATGCAACTTTTGGGTTGGGTCATAATTCTTGTAGTGAGGTAGGGAAAAGACTGCATCTGTACCAGATAATTGAATTGAAATTAACTATAAATTTGAAAGAAACTTAAGTTTATTCTAAAAGTTATGTTCCTAAATTGTACACTTAGTAAAAATTCATTGACAAAAAGATTTTTTTAAAAATTTATCAGTGTATTTATTTTTTAAATATTTTGATCTTTCTGGCTAGTAGCAGTTAATCTCAAACAAAACACCCAAGAGAATTTGCAGTTAGTTCATTCAGCTGATAGCTATGCTTGACATTGTCCAATCAGCGTCTTTATAGAAGCGAGGATCACTGATTCGAAGGACTGCCCTCTTATAGAGATGGTAGTACAAAACAGCAACTGGACAAAAATTTGGTTCAATGGTACACACTAGTTTTAATTGTTAGTAACCCGTTTCTAAAGGTGCTTACCAAACCGCTGAGCAACATGCAGTGTGTGCAATCCATCTGTCCAGGTGTAATCCAGTGGTTTGCTCCATCTCATATTCAAGCTCCAGATGTGGTACATGATTGTCAGAGCCAGGTACAACAACATGACATAAATTACAGCACAAAATTTGTTGTATATTAAGTACACCAATCCAGCCTATAATGAAAAAATAAACAAGAACAAAAGTTTTTTTTAGCAATCAATTGATTATGCATGAAGACATTTAGAAAACCCCCAGATAATTACCTGAAAAAGGTAGGTAGAAAAAAAGGATAAAAGCAAAGTTGTAAAAGCAAATATGAGACACAAGTCTTGGATTCTGTAAAGGGTAAACAAAAAGAATTAACACAGAAAGGGAAGAATCAGAGTTTAAACATTAATCAAAATACTGGTTTCTTACACATAAAAAATTAACAACAAGTGACTGTCATAGCGTAGGAATTCTGAAAATGAATTCATCAACAGATCAGTTAAGAGGAGGGTAAATTGAATGATTATCAGAATAGAGTATCTTGTATTCGAGTTCGTTGATTGCATTTCCTCCTCTGTTTCGTATTACTTGTTAGTTGTTTGGCCTCTCTCACTCACCCCTTCCGCCGTTGCTAGGGGCTCTGTGGTGTCGTTGCTAGGGAAGTGGTCCAGGCCGTGCAACGTTCCAATGGGGTATTTCTGTAAGAAAAGGGGGGGGGGATATAGCTGAAGAGCCATCTGCACAAAGAAAACGACATGATTGTTTCATGGATTGTAAAATTACTCTGCCAAGATATACCTTTGCTTCAAATTTTGTAAGTTAATCCGGTTAATCCCCTGATGTGGCTAAGTGAACTGCTACCAACTGAATTTTTACAGATCGAGTGAAATAGCGTGTTTTCCCCCAAAAAATGTAGTATAATTTTACAAGCCTTAATCACTTAATTACTTACCCTACTATCTACAAACTAAATGGGAGGTGGCACGTGACAAATACCTCATGCTTAGAGAGCATTGTTGTTTTTCATGGTTGGTGCTAGGCTCCACTGTCACTTTCAGAGCCTGGTAGAACTGAAAGGTCGGAAGAAGTGATGTTGGCGCTGTGCTGTTGTGTTCAGGCAGTGTACGTATACGTACAGGTGTTCGGGCAGTACGTTCAATTTATGCAGAGGGAAGACCCAAATTCGTCCTTAGGCTGGATATCTTTTATCTTTTGACTGCCTTGAAGTGTTTTACATCCTGTCGCCCATCGCTGGTGGGCAGTCACCTTGCTCAAGATGGAAACAAACGTAGGTGTTAATCTTCTTTTGACTTGTGAAGTGTTTTTTATGTTGTAAGAGTCATATGTGCTCCACACATAACCTCAAGAGACGAATGGCTTTAGATTTCTTTGTGAGGTTTTCTTAAGGATCAGTGCCGGCCAATCCTCAGCACCTTTCCATCTGTAGTTGCTTCATCAATGCTCTTCTCTTGGCTCCCTTTGTCCTTAATTCCTATTCACGTTGTGATAAACTTCATTCAGCCTTTATGTTATGATAGGTCTTTCAATCAGGCAATGATTTTGTACTCGACACTTCTCGTGAGCTGCCTTCAGTTCAGTCCGCTTCTCTTTTTAACCTTTTTTTTTGTAGTTCTGGAACTGCATTGCTCTAGCAGTCATAACAATTTTGTTTCAGGAGGTTATGAGTGTAGCAGATTTCTGCAATTTTAATAAGAAAGTAGAAATGATCACCATCAGAGGAGGAGCTGTCATGGGAAGAGAGATTGAACAACCAGATATACTGAGGAAGAATGAGCCTAAAAAAAGGCCTCCTGTAGGCACTGATTATGCTAAACCATATATTGATGAAGAAGAACGCTTACTCCTTCAGGTACTTTATTATAATCAAAATTGTGCTATTTAAAAAAAAAATCAGAAAAAATTTATGTGTGGTCTTAATTGTGTAAGCTTACTGGAAATGTGTTGCTCCTTTGTTGTCTTCTTGATACAGGGTTTCAAATTTGACACAACAGACCCCCCTAACCTCCCTGGCTCCAGCCGAGGGAATCAGATGGAAGACACAACTACAATTGGTTCTGTCGCTAATCTCTGTGATGTGGAAGATGATGATGACACTAAAGTATATGATTTATATGACTTCACTCCGAAGGAATCTAAATTGCCCATTGAAATCATGAGAGACAAAGTAAGTAATTGTGTAATTTTGTAGAGCTAAAATCCATGAGTGCTTCTAACAATAATCTATGAAAATGTTATTTCAGATTGTCCGCATGGTTGATACCAATCAGGTTCTTATTATACTTGGTTCAACTGGTTGTGGTAAAACAACACAAGTGCCTCAGTATATACTTGATGATCATGCTCAACAAAGAAAGAGATGCAATATTGTTGTTACTCAGCCTCGTAGAATTGCTGCAGTAAGTGTAGCTAGTAGAGTCTGCAGTGAGCGAGGCTGGGAGCTTTCTACAATCGTTGGATATCAGGTATGACTTAATTCATTTGTAGTTGTTTGATTGCAGTTGATTAGAGTGGAATACTATTATGTTTTACTGACTGTGATGTTTGACTTCGAATTTTCCTTGTGCTTAGATTGGCCTTGATAATAAAACTTCACCTGACACACGACTAACTTATTGTACTACTGGTGTAATGCGAGAGAAATTAGTCAGAGACCGCCATATGATGGGATATACACATGTCATCATTGATGAGGTTCATGAAAGAGACTTAGAGACAGATTTTTTAATGCTTATAGTGCGACAACTCTTAAGGACAAATTCGAGTAAAGTAAAGGTAATCTTTCTTTTCAATTTGTTGATTGTGTTTGATCTGGTGGTACAACTTCAGGATGTTATTTTTAATTTATTTTCCAGGTTATTCTTATGTCTGCCACAATTGATCCAACCCACTTTGCCAGGTACTTTTCTTTGCCAATTGGAGATCGTCTTTACCCAGCACCTATTTTAGAGGTGGAGAAGTTCTCACGATATACAGTCAGTCACTATTACATAAATCAACTTCAAAAACTGGGGTCGGGAACAGTAAGTTGCCTATGTTCTCCAAGTCATGTTATTTATTTCAGTGTTACTAAATTAGCTGGTTATTGTCTGTAGGTCCCAGAGTTTGAACCTTATGATCCTCAATTACAAGATGAGGTTATGGCCATTGCTGTGCGATTGATAATGATGCTTGATACGCTTGATCCAGAATCGTGGAAGGCCAGGAATGAGAAACCATCTGTTCTTGTTTTCTTGCCTGGTATTCATGAAATCGAGACCATGCATGACCGTTTACATCAAGAAGCCATTAAAAAGTATGAGACTTTTCTTTTTCACACTTCATGCATTGCTTCTATTTTTCTATTGACACTGTTACCTTTTCCAAGTTTGTCTGATAATGGTTGTTTTTTCTTGTCAGCGACAAGTTCCTGTGGCATTTAATACCATTACATTCAAGTATTACAAAAGCAGAGCAGCAAAAAGTATTTCGTGAGCCTAAAGCAGGTCACAGGAAGGTGATTTTGTCTACAAATATTGCTGAAAGTTCCATTACAGTTAGCGATGTAGTCTATGGTAATCATATCCTTCATAAACAGCACAAGTTTTCTTGAATTACAGTTTGTTGTGTGAATTCAACCTTGAAAGTATAATTTGAAATGTTTCCAATTTCAGTCATAGATTTCTGCCTGACTAAACATCTAATATGTGATGAAATCACTAATTTCACAAGTTTAAAATATGCATGGGCTTCTCATGCGAACTGCAAACAGCGTGCTGGACGAACTGGAAGATTGTGCAATGGAAGAGTTTACCGCATGGTCCCTCAAAGCTTTTATGAGGTTTGCCTTGTGTTCATTATGAGCACCTGTTCCTCGAATTGGAAGGATACACATTTCTTTAATCTGATCATTTGAATTTGCTCCAGGATGTACTACCCATTGAAACTGTGCCTGAGATGATCCGATGCCCTTTGACTACTACTGTTCTCAAAGCTAAACTTCTGAAAATGGGAGAGCCGAAAGCTATACTTGCTAAAGCTTTGGACCCCCCTGATCTTACTCGGTTAGAGACCACAATACTTCTGTTGAAAGAGGTCAGTTGCTCATGTTTGCTTCACTAGCTGGTAACCATCAACATATTCACCTTATAACTTCTTTGAATTCTTCTAGGCTGGTGCTTTACTGATGACTTCAGATGGAAAGTTTTCAAAGTTTGATGGTGACATGACATATCTTGGTTCAGTGATGGCACACCTTCCTCTTGATATTCACCTTTCAAAGTTGATATTGCTAGGAAATGTATTTTCTATCCTTGAGGATACCATTGTTATTGCTGCATGGATGGCCGTGCGTAATGTGTTTAAAAATGATTTCTACGACCGCCTTGGTCCTTACGAGTCAAAAATTAATTTCTCTGCTGGATCTGCTAGTGATTGTATTGCCTACCTTAATGTGTATCACGTAAGTACTCTACTTTTTTTCTTTCATCAAATAAATAAAAGAAGATTTATTGCTCAAAATTGTTGCTAACTTGCCTTTCAAAACCTTTATTTTTACACAGAGTTATAAAGAAAAGTTACGCACCAATTATTTCAAAACTGGAAATGATACTGAAAATACATGGTGTAGAAGGAATTTCCTTGATTTCAAAGCTTTGAAAGAAGCTGATGAGTTAGTAGATGAGCTCCGAAAACGTCTTAAAAATCTTGGTGTGTATGAAAGCACTTCAGAAGCCAGACCACAGTGGGATAGACCCCTCCTTCCCATCCTGAGAAAGGTATATTTTCTTCTCAAAAATTATTTTCAGTGTCAGTTTTACCATGTTTTGTTTTTTATGGTTTTAATTGCCTTTTTAAAATTTCAAACATGTAGGTGGTAATTGCTGGAGCATTCTACCCTAATTATTTTGTGCGTAGTGCTCAAGGTGGTCAAGTTGTTGAGAAGGATGCTGTGAAGGCTGTTAATGGAAAGGATCCATGTTCTACTGTATACCTGTCAGGTCTACCTTCTCACCAACCACCCCAACTTTATTCTAAAGCATTTGCTGATATTCTTGGAAAATACGCTGGAGTTGTCTCTAATGTTTCTTATGACGGTTCCAGGTATGATTTGCATTTTGATGGTTTTCTACTTGCCACAGGAAGCATCATCAAAACCTTTGATTCAGATTCATATGTGTTTTCTTTTTCCTTGCAGCAAAGTGTACATTGATTTTGAACGAAAGATTAGTGAATACTTGCCTGGCAAAATATCCTATCCTGTGTATCGAGCTGTCAAAATGCGACAATTGAGAATTCCCATTGAGATTCCAGTATTATCGTAAGTTTTTTCATCGACTGATAGAGAGCAAAAGTTGTTTTCCATATACTTCTTAAGATGGTTGTGGCTTTACATGTGTTTCCAGACCTGAAGAAGCTGAGAAGCGAATGAAAAAATATGGGGAAACTGCAGACAGGTACCTGTGTATTGGAAAGCTTAAAGCCCCACCAAAAGATCGACTGCCTAGTTTGTCTGTTGAGTACATAAAATTTGTCCCATCTTATGTGAGTGATGTACATTCCTACATTTAAAAGCTTCAATCCATACTCAAAATCTATCTTAAAATAATCCTTTTATTTTTTTAAAATCTAGGTTGATAATCCAAATAAATTCTGGATTCATTGTGGCATTGAAGCTGAATTGGAATCAGTTCAGATTAAACTTAATACTCCAGGGAATGTATTTACTCTGACAGAAAAGCCAGTTGTCGGTGGAATTTTTGCTGCTCCATTTCCCTTAGACTCTGGAATCTTATATCGTGCTCAAATAAGTTCTGTAGATATGGAGTCTAAAATAGCCGACGTCTGTATCAAACTCAAATAACTATCTTGTTTTTTTTTTAATTGGCTTTTGATTTTACTCCAATTAAACCTGGTGTTTATGATTAATAGGTCAAATTTATTGATTATGGAAATGTTGAAAAAATGCCAATTAAGTTGCTTTGTGAGTTCGGTCCTTCCATTCAAGACCTTAGGATGACCCACCTTGTGCCCCCATTTGCACTTGAGTGCTCTTTGATGGGAATTGGCCCGTCTTTCCTAAGTAATGAAAATGGCATTTGGTCAGAAGAATCTATTGGAAAGTTCATGAAATTAATTAACTGTGGAGAATTGATTGGCGAGGTATTGAGGCGTATTAATTATTGCAAAGCAAAGTAGTGTTGTAAGGTTGCTAATGTTCTTTTTTATTCATTCATGGTATTGGTTCTAGATTTACTCAGTTGTTGATGGGGTGCTGTCCTTGACTGTTACTCAATCTGAGAAAAAGGGAAGTTTGAATAAGATACTGATAAAGCAGGGCTTAGCTGTCGAAGTGGAAGAAAGTTTGAGGTCTAAGGTATTGTTCTTTCCAATCATATACTACGTAATCTTCAGAGGAAGCCTTTATGCAGCTAAATATTGTACATATCAAAGCTGGTCGTTTGGAAATGGTCTTTGTCATGTTAGAGTCCATCAATCTATACTCAAAGTTTACATTTTAATGTGGCTTCCACCACTGCATTTCTCTTTTCTCACATCAAATATATGTGAACTTATGACCCTTTGTCCTGCTTTCAGTGCAACAATTTACAGAGGGTAACAGCTAGAAACTATGACAATGGTGTATCAAACGGCAGTCAAAATCCAAGTCAGTCGACCTTTCTTGTTGATAATGTGCAACATTCTGTCGGAAGAGTTGCAGAGTTTGTTGATCCCCCGACACGGCGAGAGTGCCGTAATAACACGGTAAGAAAGTGCATGTTAACATCTTTGTGTTTTGAGTGTGATATGTATGTCTTATATTATTGCCATTGTCCTTGTTTCTCAAGGTGAGAATGAGGGGTCCCTCCAGTCCTCTAGAAATGAAAGTGTATGGCTGCACTAATGTCTCATCAGGCAAGGATATTAGCATGGATGTTGACTCTATCAATTCTGTGTTGCTGGATTCGAATCCAGAAGATCCTCATGAAAGGTAACTGTTTGGTGTTGAACATTCTTTAATTCTTCCATTGGCCTTTTTTTTTTTTGTAGAAGTTGCCATTGTTATTGACTATACTAATCTTCCTTTCAGGCTTTTGATCGCAGGATATGTTAGGGCTAATTCATCTGGCTCAAAGCTGAAACTTGGCCACTCAACATTACTGCCAAATATACATGGCTTATCATCTTTGATGTGTCTCATATTTTCCCCACAAGTTGAGCTAAGGTAAACTTTTGTTGTTCATGCAATTTTTTTTTAAATAGTGAAACTGAGATTAATTTTTCTCATTAAATTGCAGACTAAGCCGGGACAAACGGAGGTACATTGGTGCCTTGTGTGGTTTGGGTTATGATAATACAACTGCCCAATCAATATTTCCAGAGAATGAAATGGAAATGAAGTTTGACTGCGTCATTGACATTGAAGATATGAGGAAGGTAAGTCTTGGCATTGTGAATTTCTTGTGATATGAAACTTTGCTGTTTTTAAATAACTAATAACTATCTACTTAATTCTCAGATTAATCACTTAAGGTACTGGATGTCAAAAACACTTAAATGTGCAGAGGGTGATGATGATACATGTGAAGCTTCACCTGCTGACATTGTGAGAGCTCAGCAACAAGTCCATAACACACTTTTTAAGTAAGTATTTCACTCAGCTTACCATGACCCAACCGTTTTCTAGTTGTATCTGTTGTATTACTTCCCATTTGTTCTTATCCAGGCTCTTATCGCGACATAGGCCTTCAATAGAAGTAGAGGACTTTAGGTTCACCTATGAATGGAATAAGTACGATGATGATGATTTCTTGCTTCCGGATTTCCCTGATGATGAGCGTGCTGTGTATAAACCTCATTTTGCCCTTAAGATTAAAGATTGTAAAGTCTGAAATTTACTTTAAAGTTAGTGTTATTGTTGAATTTTTTAACATTTGATGATTGAATGATAATATTCACAGAGTTGGATATTGTGAAGGAAACATAGGTTCTGTTAAGGAACTTTTCCTTTGTGCTCTCAATTTTTGAGATTCGTTAAGTTCTTACTTTTATCAAGTTTTTTTTCCTTATTTTTGAGCCAAGTGTCTAGTTACCAATCTTATTTCTGGAATTTTTGAATTAAACTTTTCTTTATGTCATGTTTATCCCTTTATTTTGTACATACACATGTTTGTTATCAGACCAAAAATAATTTTTAACCAAGGACCAACGGTAACTTATTTTTATATAGAAAGTTTATATAGGAAGTTAGGGGACTGAAGTGAGGGGCCACTTTTAAAATGCCACCTGAACTCGAGCCTAAACTACACCAATGAAATATTTGTTGAATTACCTGCCTCATGATCTATGAACCTTGTTTGAGTTGAGAGGTTGGCTAGTTTGGTTTTCTTTATCAGTAAGGGCTTAGCAAAACGTAAAAAAGAAGTCACTGTTCAATACAGAAAGGATATTTTTGTGATATCCTTCTGAATTTTATTATATTTATCATTCCCTTGATGGGAAATGTCCTAACAGCACCTCTGAGAATGATTTCTAGTAGAGATTAAATTTGCCAGATTTAGCATGAAATTTGGTAAAATATAAGAAGGCATAATAGGGCATATCCCACCAATCTCAAGACAGTATATCATCTTTCCATACATCCCACTTTTATAATTCTTTTTGTATATATACACAACAAATAACTTTAACAGTAACAGACTATACACATGTGGCAATTCTTGGAACATACCAATCACCATTCAGTTTTGACCATACAGTCTATCCTTCAATTGTCAATAAAATACAACACATTATTTTTATTTACACATACATATACTCAGTGGATCTTTGTGACAACCCAATTATGAGTAACTTAGTAAAAAAATGGAAGGGGAGAGCATTTTTCGAGATTGTATCGAGCAACTCATCGGCCTTTAAATCAGAACAGCATTGTATGTTTTCAGGTCTATTGATTGACATTTAAAGCTTGAAATGTTTTCGGCAATTTCATATTGGTAACCACTTTCATTCTTTTTTTGACTGATTTCTTCTAAAACACAATTTGGGAAAGAGCCTCATTTCTGCAAGGGTCATTTTGACAGCAGGGGAGGTCAGAAAGTAGCCATTGAGTTAAACGGACTGAGTTAAGAGCATCCCTTAAAATTAATTAACAGTTCTTCAAGGAAAGTATTCAGATGGCCTAAAAGAATATTCTTGCTCAGTTATATTATGCATTGTATGATAAGTGCATTGTTGTGCTGAACTTTCTGCATTGTCCAATCTTGAATGAAAGTTGGCTACTGTCACAATCTATAAAAACAATTAAGATGAAGCAGATGTGGAGCATGTCTACCTCGTAAAGATCAGGTCGGTGACTCACCGGAGAATCTCTGGTTGACGTCATCTAGGGTTTAATTTCTGTGCTTTGAGATGGCACATTTTTAAGAAACCAAGGTCCTCAACTTTCTATGAACTCAGGTTTTATGAATTGTTACATTTATCTTTAAAAATATATCATACTTAATTCCTAGGAAAATTTTTGTTTAAAACTTTAATTTAATATGAGAATTCTTAGCAGGAGACAGTTAAGTGATATGATGACAGTGATAAATCCATACCAAAGGACTGTTAGCTCTTTCTTTAACAGCGTTTTTTTTTTTCTTGTCGTGGGCTGCTTTAACAAGTAGAAGATGTTACATAATCATGATCAAGTACCACGTTGTAGTTTCGATGAAATTATTGCGTGCGCCACAATTTCGTGACAAGAAACAGCCCTGCTGGACTTCTTATTTTCATTGTTAAAAATTTTCGGGCATGCAACCATCTTGGTGTTACTCTCCTTGAAACTGCTACTCAACTAATGATTTATTTCACTAGAGGTTTGCTCGAAACAAAAATATCGTCATCCTGAACTCGAAAGGCTTTAGGCAGCACAACCAACAGCTATGTGAAAATTTTCAAAACACAAGTGGCACACATGCTCGAAACCTTCAAAATATTTGAACTGCAAAAGTATTTTTTTGTAGTCATTATTTTTTTTTTACAAAATATTAGAAGTTACAAAAATCTCTCTCTTTAAAGCATTGTAGTCTGCGCTATACTCCACGAGAAGACAAAAATACCATGGCCGTATACTTTACAGCTCTGATCTAAAATTCAGATCAGACCTTTTGCAAACACACCTTAAGAGCAAAAATAGCATTCCTCGCCCATTTTAATTTGAGGACTAATGCCAAGTGGAAGATAAGAGCAAGTCGCTGGCTGCTGACCACGAAGCGCAACCTTTGATAACTCTTCCACAAGGTGCGAACAGTGCGAGAAAGGGAAGACAGCCGTTGTAGCTCGCTTTGACGACATGCTCGCAGTCCGACTAACACCATTTTACAGTGACACTTGCGACAGTTAAGAGTGAATTGGAAAGCAACGAAGAGAAAGAGATGAAAAGGTAGCGACCACAACGAAAAAGACAAGAAGAAACTGACTAAAAAAGGTATGAAGAGGAATACAGGGGGAAATACAAACAGTCAGCAGTAATGAAATGAGTTTTCTTTTCTCTTTGACATTATGAATGGCATGTTGACCAGCTGATAACCCAGCCAAATCTTGCCGTGGTCCCAGATCCCGAGATCCGGGCCCGGGCACCGTGACGGCAGTGTAGCTAGCGACTTTGGCAGCAAGTTGCTGGCATGCACGGAGGCCGAGCCACAGCGGACTGCAGTGACTGGCCCTGGCAGCCCTGGGCGGGAGACTTTTGTACGAAAGACACTGTTCGTTGCACGGTGCACGGAGTGCACGCCCACAGCCCGCTGCGCACTGGACTGCGTGCGCCGCCGTCTCTCGTGTCTCGTGGCTCTCGCAGCGCCAGTAAGGCACGTCTTGGAGGACCGCAGCCGGACTGCTGGCTGCAAGCTGGCTGCTCGTTGTGCTTCGGAATGTGCCCGGGGTGGGGCGGCAGGTCCCGGCAGGTCGGCACGGCGCTCAGAAGCCCTCCATGATACCGTAGGCCTCGAGGCACGCCAGGATGATGTAGGTGAACCACAGGCTCATCAGCAGGCCCGTCGTCAGGTACTTGAGGACCTTGGGCCCGCCCAGCTCGCCGCCGACGCATTTTAACCGCCGCAGCAGCATCACGAGGATGCTGACGAACGCGCCCACGCAGAAGATGGTCACGTTGAAGGCAAGGCTGGAAACGAGAATAAAATGGGGATTGTTGTTGTCAATCAAGTAACTTTTTTTCTAAACCCTTTTCAAAAACGAGGGGAGTGTACTCACTTGCCGGGCTCCACCAGGAACTCCCTGCCGTGCCACCAGTGGTGCAGCGCGGCGAGGGTCCAGGCGATGCCGATGCCCAGGAACACGTTGACGGCGTTGCTGCCCGTCACGTTGCCCACGGAGGCGTCGGCGTACTTGTCGTTCAGGGCCGCCACCTTGCTGGCGAACGTGT